TATACCACTTCTCAAACACCATATTTCAGGGTGTCTGTCCTAAAGTGAGTATGTATCATCATTACCTCCTCGTGATTGCAGGTGCCTGAGGGGCGATCACGATGACGCAGTCTCCAGCCTCCCTGGCTGGGTCTCTGGGCCAGCGGGTCACCATGAACTGCAGGGACAGTCAGAGTATTAGCAGCTACGTAGCCTGGTACCAACAGAAACCAGGACAACGAACTAAGCTGCTCATCTATGACGCATCCAACCGGGTAACTGGCGTCCCCGACCGATTCAGCGGCAGTGGGTCTGGGACAGATTTCACCCTCACCATCAGCAACCTCCAGGCTGAAGACGTGGCGACTTATTACTGTCAACATCGTAATAGTTATCCTCCCACAGTGCTTTAGTCTCATACACAAACCTCCTCCCCAGGGCCCTGGGTCAGGGAGGCTTCCTTGCACCTGCTGCTGCCTCCCTGCTCAGCCCTGAATGCGCACGTTCCTGGGTCTGCCTGAGAAGCCACCACTCTCAACTTATTCCTTACAGGGCTGGAAGGCACATGGAAAAATTAAGTAGGGTGGTTTTTTCTGGATCCCTTTTAGTGGGAGATTAGTGAACACAAATGCTGTAAAGACGTCTTAGAGAGGCTGTCAGGAGTTTTTGTGTCACAGGACCTGGTGTGTTTCTCATTGATAGATGGCATAGTTGAGCCAGTAAGGTTCGTCTCTCCCCTTTGGCAAAGGGTCCAGTGAATTTCACACCCTAATGGATGAATTCTCTCTTCCCTGTGCCTCCTTGACTCTGAAACATTTCTCTTGTATTTCCTTATATTCTTGGTCACCTTTCTTCACCCCCAGTCACCTTCCAACTCTGGACCTTCCCAATATAAAGCTTTTGACCTCTCCAATTCATGGCCTCCTATGTGGAAGGTAGCATTCCTTTCTCACTTTATCCTTCGTAGACTCTATTTTCCAGCTTTTCTGGCCAATGTACCTGATGTTCATTTCTGCTCTATCTCCTTTCATACCTCCTCTTGTCTATCCTCTCCATTTCTTCCAGGTGTACCTTCTCACAACCTCACTTCTCTGATTCGTTAATCATGTAACTCTAGAAATAGAGGCTAGTGTTCCTCAGCACGTGTTCTCAACATTTGTCACCTCTTTTTTTAAAGTCTTCCCTTGGGCATTTAGGTCTAGTCTTGTGACTGAAAGGACTCACGACTCTATGTGTTCTATAACTTTGGCCCCTTGGAAAACATTTAATAAACATGCCCATTTCAGTATAAAATCAGGAAAGTTCCCAAGAATTTTAATATAATTTCTTCACCTCCTTCTGAGACCCATCAACATGGGTTGATGCAGTTTAGCTTCAGGAAAGAATACAACAATCCTGGACAGTGTGCTCTGAACACTTTACCTACAAAACAGCATCTCATAATGATTAGATATTTTGTGAAAGTACCCATATTAAGTAATCCATATTACTCATTCCAAATATTGAGTGTTTTTTTTTTAAGTTGTTTTTTTAATGTTTATTTTTGAGAGAGAGTCAGAGTGTGAATGGGGGAGGGGCAGAGAGAGAGGGAGACACAGAATCCAAAGCAGGTTCCGGGCTCTAAGCTGTCAACATAGAGCCCATCCTGGGGCTCAAACAAAGGAACTGTGAGATCGTGATGTGAGCTGAAGTCAGATGCTTAAGTAACTGAACCCTCTATGTGCCCCCCCCCCAGATATGTTTTCTGAGTGTTTATTATGCGTCATGAGCAAAGATATCTGCTTTCACACCAGCTGGGTGGGACAGACAATAAATACCTGTATCAGTGAATACTTACAATGTTGTTTTGGAAGTTCTATAAGAAAAAAGAAAGGATTCAAGGCTTGGTGGGGTAAGAGTGAGTAGAAATTTAAAAACAGATGGTGTATTGGTTAGCTATTGTCATGTAACAACTCACCCCCAAAATGTAGCGGCTTAGAATGGTAGCATTTTTATTGCTGTCATGTTTATTGGTTGGTTGATCAGTTTCGTTAATATGAACCAGGCCTGATTGATCTTCATCGGCCTTGGTTGGCTTGCTCGTGTGTTTAAAGTTAGCTGACAGGTCAACTAAGTGCTTTTGTTATAGAAAGGCTCACATTTCTTACCTCTCTTTCACATTGCTGTGGTTGGCTGACTATCTGCTGGGGCTGTGTGGGCAACTAGGCCTCATGTCCCTCACTGTGTGGCAGACTAATCCCAAGCTTCTGTGACAGGTAGCAGGGCCTCAAGTGAGAAAGTGAAAGCACACAAGGCATCTTGAAGCCTAACCTTAGTACTGGTACAATTCCCCATCTGATGTGTTGTAATGATCGATGCAGCTGATACTGTTGAAGAAGAGGGTAAATAGATCCCGGCTCTTGTTAGAAGGAGCTGCATGGTTATATTGCAAAAGGCATGGGTAGAGGGAGGGATAAAGAATGGGGGAATCTATATTTGCAATCAGTCTACTCTAGAGGGTTATAGAGAGCTGGACTGAGAAAGTGAGACTTAATCAATGTTTCAATGTTGTTGAAGAAAGGAGTCATAGAAGTACTTTTAAGCAGTAGAGTTGTAGTCGGATCTAAGTAGAAGAAACAGCACATTTCTGAGTGGGAATGTGATCAGCACGTTGGCGAAGTAGAAGGAAGCCAATGTTGCCAAAGTGGAGTGTACAAAGGGGAGAGTACTGGAAATGAGATCAAAGAAATCACAGTGAGGCCACCATATATAAGACTCTGTAGACTTCTCTAAGGATTTGGCTTTTACTTTGAGTGAAGTGGTAAGTGGGAGAGTTTTGAATAGAGCAAGGCATACTTTGGTTCATAGTTTAGCAGGATCTTTCTGGGAGGCCAGACTGGAAAGCTAACTGTTCGGAGGCCACTGCTATCACCCAGGCTAGAGAGGATGACAGCTCGGGTCTGTGTCAGTGGCAGTTTTGGAGGGAGGAGTGGTGTATTTTGAAGACAGAGATAATAATATGCTGATGGTTTTGACAAGGAGTGTGAGAGAAAGAGAGGTCTCAGGGTGACTCCAGAGTTTTTCTCTGAGTTCTAGAAGGGTGGAGTTGCCATTTGTTCCAATAGAGAAGACTGTGGAAGAGTGGATTTGGGGAAGAAGATGAGGAATTTCCCGTTGGACATTTTAACTTTGAGATGTGTGTTAGATCTCCACAAACAACTGTCAAGTAGCCATTGGATATACGAGTCTAGGGTTCAGGGAGAGAATTGGACTGGAGCTGGGAATATATGATAAGCATTGAAACGAGCGTTGCCTAGATCAGAGGTGCAGCGGTCGAACTCTGAGGGAAGAGAGATGAGGAGGTACCACCGAAGGAGCAGTGGAAGGAAAACCAACAAGATGGTATTTTGCCCTGGAGTCCAGAGCGAAAGGTAGATCAAGGATGAAGGTGTTGTCAATGTGTTAAATGCTCATGAAGGTTTTAGTGAGATGAGGAGTGGCATGTGGCCATTGAACTTGGTAATGTGGAGGTCACTGGTGACTTTGAGAAGTTTCAATGATATGGAGGTAGTAAGCCCTTGAATGTTGAAAGCTCAAGAAGGATGTGGGGCTCCATGTTGGGAGATCATGACCTGTGCAGAGGTTGATGATCAACAGACTGAGCAACCCAGGTGCCCCAGTTTTAGGGAAGAGTTAAATGAGTGTGTGGGAAGGTGTGAGTGTGCTTAGAGAGAGAAGGAAGATTGCATTTATTGCTGTAATTAGAACCTATGCTGGATCCATTAGTGCCTTTGACTTTTGGGGGATGGAAATGATAGGTGTGGCAGAAGACAGGGACAAGGCCATGTGAGCTTATCTCCACTCAAAATGAGGTCATCGGCTCAGCTGGACAATGTCATGGAAAGCTCTTAACGTTTCTCCTGTAACAAGTGTGTCAGGTACAGCCTGGCAAACAGAGAAAGGAGGCCAGTGTGCATTTGCCTACCGAAACTCTATAGGTACCCATGGTCACAGAGTTCCACATATGGAACATTCCTGCTGATGGCTTTGGAGGATTTTGTAACAGAGGATATCACCGTGAGAGGTGCAGGATCATCTCCTTGACAAAAGCAATATGCAGCATCTTCAGATTTCACCTTATCAACTCTCAGGGTGAATCTGCTCTCTACCCACTGCCACTGAACCAGGATGAAATCCCAGAGATAAGAGTGGTGACACAATTAAAAATAAATATAGGAGCTTGTCCTGGTTTCTGTAGATGCCAGTGTATATCATCATCAATGTCTTGGCTTGGCTGGCTTTGCCGTTAATGGAGCTCTGTTTCCTGGAGCCACTGACATCTTGGAGACTGTGAGGCACCTGGGTGGCTCAAGTGGGTTAGGCATCTGATTCTTGATTTTTGGCTCAGTTCGATTCAGCTGTGCCTGGCTCCACGCTGCCCAGGAAGCCTGCTTGGGACTCTCTCTCTCTCTCTCTGTTTTCTCTGCCCCTCCCCCAGTTGCTACCTCTCTCTCAAAAATAAATAAGTAAGTAAACTAAAAACAAAAATGTTGGAGACTGTGTGAATATCATTTCTGCCCTGATGTCTGTTTAGGGAGGAAATAATAAAGATACATTGAAAACATCATGTTTGGAGAGAATGACGAAAATCAGTTTCTTTGTTTGTTTAATTCAATTTTTTTTTGGAGCGAAAGAGTAGGAGACTGGGGGAAGGGGCAGGCAGTGGGGAAAGGAGAGAGAATCCTAAGCAGGCTTCACCATCAGCATGGATCCGAACACAGCGCTCAATCCCACAATTTGGAATCATCACCTGAGCAGAAATCAAGAGTTGGACACTCACTGACAGACAACCCAGGTGCCACAGAAAATGTGTCTTATGAAGATGTAATAATTTTTGATAATTTTTTAAGTATTTATTTATTTTTGAGAGAGAGACAGAGAGAGAATCAGAGCGTTAGCAGGTAGGGGCAAAGAGGGAGGGAAACAGAATCTAAAGCAGGCTCCAGGCTCAGTGCTGTCAGGACAAAGCCTGATGTGAGACTCAAACTCATGGACCGATAGATTATGACCTGAGCCGGAATCGATGCTTAACCAACTAAGCCACCCAGATGTCCCTCTGATAACCAGGTTTTATCCAAATTCCTATTCACACTTAGATAGTAGACAAACTTGGAGAGCTTACATGGCTGGGAAAATGTGGTTATTTTCCTATCTCCAGTTCACATGTGTTTTGAGGAAATTGCCCTGAGTTCCTCTCAGAAAATATTGAAGGAAATGTTCTCCAAACATCTGTGGCTAAATTTCTCAAGACGACGTGGCCTCACCTTCAAGCAGTGCTCTCTGGCACATGAACTGGCTTAGGTCCAGGCACTGAGTCAGAAGCTTGATTGTAGGCTTCAGCTCACCCGACCTAGAGTTTTCTGGTCATATGCAT